GGAGAGCCTCGTCGCGTGCAGCCAATGCACCTTTCTTCTCAGATAGTGCTAAATTTCGCTCCCGAATAGCAGCATCTCTCTCGGCTATAATAGACATGATCTTCTTATTCATGACCAAGGCGTTCGGTTCCTTTACATGATGAGGGGGCGCCATATGCCACTGCATACATCGTTTCCAATTCATTCGATTTTAGAAAGAACATCTTAATTGAATGCATTAAAAATAAACAGGCAAATTACCGGCGAGGGGCTCCCTCTGAAGTAGTCTAACTTGTGCCTCCCATTTTCATGATGCCGGCCATCATCCATAGTCTCAGAAAATAAGGACACCAAGGTGAATGGATTCAGAATGCTCCAAATGCTTTCACCATCAACTAATCTTTCTCATAATCATCTATGCTGATTTAACATAAATTCATCATATCAGCACAAATCAGACAACAGAAGATCGAAACTAAGTGAAATGAAACCTCAACAGCTAAGAACGAGTAGTAATTCGACGTCACAAGCATTTTCTTTTACAGGTAAAGTCACAAACATTTTAAAGAAAAATTAAACCTATACTAATAATGTAACAGCCCAAGCCCACCGCTAGCAGATATTATCCGCTTTGGCCTATTACGTATCGCCGTTAGCCTCACGGTTTTAAAACGTGTATGATAGAAAGAGGTTTCCACACCCTTATAATGAATGCTTTGTTCCCCTCTCCAACCGAGGTGGGATCTAACAATCCACCCCCTTGGGGCCCAGCGTCCTTGCTAGCCACTACCCAGTGTCTGGCTCTGATACCAATTGTAACAGCCCAAGCTCACCGCTAGTAGATATTGTCTGCTTTGACCCGTTACGTATCGCTGGCAATCTCACGGTTATAAAACGCGCCTGCTAGGGAGAGGTTTCCGCACCTTTATAAGGAATGTTTCATTCCCCTCTCCAACAGATATGGGATCTCACAATCCACCCCATTGGGGGCCCAGCGTCCTTGCTAGCACACTGCCCGATGTCTGACTCTGATACCATTTGTAACAACCCAAGCCCACCACTAGCAAATATTGTCTGCTTTGGCCCGTTACGTATCGCCGTCAGTCTCATGGTTTTAAAACGCATATGCTAGGGAGAGGTTTCCACACCCTTATAAGGAATGCTTTGTTCCCCTCTCCAACCGATGTGGGGATCTGACAGATAAACCCAGACTAAAGGGAGACTATTGTTTGGACAATGTGCAGACACATGATAAAACTACTGTAAACTCATAAAGAAGATCGGACTCGTCCCAACACCACGATGAATTCATTAAGCTACATCAACTGAAATAATTAAAACTGATACTCTCTTTACATTGAAAATTTTAGGATCATATGTTTTGGATAACAGGAAGTTACAACATGCTCACATCTGGCATTCCATGGGGGCTCAATTTAAACATTTCAGCGCAAAGAGAGAAACAAAAGCCTACAATGGCATGGTTTTCCAAACAAGGAACAAAAATTAAAATATGAAATATGAGAAGAACATTCAATTATATCTTTACAAATACATATATAACGATACGTACAAACAATTTCATCAGAGCTCTGAGCATAAGACTTACAACACAAGCTAAACTGAAAATAGTGTCATACGTTACTCACTCAGCTTCTACTTAAAAATCCACAAAAAAAATAATAAATCTAGCGTATAGAGTAATGAAATTGACACTAACACTCGCAGATCAATATTTATCACCATTTGCTTCGCAGTAAACTTACAAAGACAGCAAAATTTACATCAAACAAGTCATACGAATCCTAATGAGTAACGAAATGTCGTTAAACAACAGTACGAAATGTTCAAAACGGAAGTTTGTTCAAAGGAAAAAAGAGAAACCGTACCGGAATCAAACAGCAGAGGAAGCAGCTCAATCTCCTCCTAAGGGACAGAGAGCGAAGAAAACCTAACAGCTGAAAGAAAAAAAATGAAGTAACGGAATCAACGGGAGAAAACCAGGCACATAAACCAGAAATGAATGTGCATAAGGTAGGAGTGACAGAAGGCTAGGGTTTTGGAGGAGAAACTTGAAAACGGAGAAAAACAATTGAGCAGGAGAGGAATCAGGAAAGTGGAAATAGAAGAACGGAATACTTACAGATGCAATGGCGAGTGGAAATGGAGAAGAAAATCTCGATCGGACGGCGATTTGCAGAATGAAGAAGAAATTGCTGTTCTTGTGATTGACACAGTCGGAGAAGAGAGAACAGTAAGGGAAGGGGTGAAGGAATGGTGGGTGGCTTCGTTCTAATCCGCCTTCAAACGGCGTCGTTTTACAAATTAATCCTTTTTTAACTGAAAAATCTAAAACGCGCCTTTTCTTTGACGTTTTAAAGTTCGTTTTTAAAATGGTCCAAAACTAATATAAAAATTTATGGTAAATTAATAAAATACCCATAAAATTTAACATTATCTTAAAAAAAAAAAAATACTTTTATAATTAATTTTAAATGAAAATTGTTAATATTGGTTCTTAAAAATATCTTAAAATTTTTAATATATTTAAAAAATATTCTTAAAATTTTTAAAGTTTCATTAACATCCTCCAATTTTAAAAAAATACGCTTTTATTCACTGTATTTAAAAAATACTATAAAATTTTAAAGAAGTAGTTTTATCACTTTTTACTTATATAAAAAAGTAAAAAAAATTTATAACCATTCATATATGGACAAAAATCATCTATCTACTCCTCATAGATTAGCTCGAAGGATTAGTGCCCGACTAGTCGAAAATCAAAGTTTATCAAAAGCTTGATCTAAAATTATTGAAAAATTAGCCTTTTATGATTACATCGGGAGTAATCTCGCAAAAAGGTGGATTATTCAGAGCAGGTTCCAATAGACAATGGGGATGGAATAGAGGTTGGATAGTTACTTTTTGTCCGCCACCGTATACCGATCTTTTTTGAAACATTTCCAGTTATTTTAGTAGTTGACGATGGAATTATTAGAGCTGATGTCAAAGTCGACGATGGAATTGTTAGAGCTGATGTCAAACTTTTTAATGTGACTGTTCAAATTTCATAAGATAGTACACTAAATGTATTTGAAGTTTTTTTTTTTTTTTTTTTTTTTTTTTTTTTTTTTTTTTTTTTTTTTNACACAAAACTCGATCTCCCAAAAACAAATGATTTTTTTTTAGAGGGAGAAATTAAATAATATTATATAAATGAATTCATTAAAAAGAACATTTAATAACATTTGAAATATCAACATCCAATTAATTTCGTTGAAAATCCTCATTTAAATTTGGTAAGGAGACAAGAAATAATGTCAATGAGATTCAAACATCTTAAAATGTGCGTGGGCTCTGTCCGTTGCTCTGATACCATGTTAATGTTAGGAATCACGACTCTCCACAATGATATGATATTGTCCACTTTGAGCATAAACTCTCGTGGCTTTGCTTTGGGATTCCCTGAAAGACCTCATACCAATGGAGATAGTATTCCTTGATTATAAATCCGGGATCATTCTCGGTGTGTGAGACTTTCATCCAACACGAATTTCTCCAAGTTTCTAGAAAGTAGGAAGAAAATGGTTAGTCAAACATTTTTAAAATGATGTGTGTTTGAAGGGTGATTTATAACCCAATTTTCTCAAAGTTGATTATATATGAGACAAATTAGAGGGGGAAGAATTTGTTGAATATAAAAGGGCAAAAATGGGCGCCAATCATGGCTATGGCTTGTGGACAATTTCTCTAATTAAATAATAATAATAATATTTAATTAAAAAAAAAAAGCAAATTTCTTTTATTAACTATTGATCCACGGAGGAATTTAGGGGAAATTCCGCAGTTTATGGCTTCCAAGCTTGCATGATTTATTGTCTCATCCCTTACCGTGATTCTTCTCATTACTAGCAGATATTGTCCGATTTGACTCGTAGAAATTTAAGTTGGTGTATTAATGTAACAGCCTAAATTCACCGCTAGTAGATATTGTCCATTTTGGCCCGTTACGTATTGTCGTCAGTCTTACGATTTTAAAACTCGTGAAAAATATTAGGGAGAGGTTTCTACACTCTACAAGGAATGTTTTGTTCTCCTTTCCAACCAACAATGGGATCTAACAATTTAGTCCCTTGTAGGCCCAACTACACTACCATTTGTAACAGCTTAAATTCACCGCTTGTAAAAATTGTATACTTTGACCCGTTGCATATTATTGTTAGCTTCACGGTCTTAAAACACGTCTACTAGAGAGGTTTCGACACCGTTTATGCTACCATTTGTAACAGCTTAAACTCACCGCTTGTAAAAATTGTATACTTTGACCCGTTGCATATTATTGTTAGCTTCACGGTCTTAAAACACGTCTGCTAGAGAGAGGTTTCGACACCGTTTCTACACCCATATAAAGAATATTTTGTTCCCCTCTCAAACTATATTGTGTTTAAACCTTGTTTAAAAATACGAGAGTGTATTTGAAATTATATTTAAACTCGAATGTTCTTGTGATTTGTCATTTGTAATATAGTTTATGCATCTAATTTGTAATTTGTAATATAGTTTATACATCTAAGGAAATAAATTTTTGTGAGGCCTACACAATATTTGGTTTTTTTTTATGATTTCCATTTAGTTTTTAAGTTTTGAATTTAGATTGAAAATTAAAAATCCCCTTTTTAAGGTTGGACTTTAAGCCAAATTCAAGTTAAACTTTGGCAATTTTGAGCCATAAAACGTTGGAAACCAGATTAGAGTGAATAACTAGAATGTTGAGATCTAACGTTGGACGAAAATGGTTGAGAAAGAACGCCAATGACATGTTTAAGAGTGATTTTGAAATGGTTATCGAATCAGACCTTAACACTTTAGACACTGCTATCACTTCAACGTCTACTTTTTCCCCGAGGCTCGATCCATCAAGTCGGTTTTCGATGTGAAGGTTATGACAAATTAGCATAGGGGACCTCGAATTCAAATAATCAAATAAACTCAGCTGCATTCTCATCATTCCAGATCCATTTTTCGATTCATTCTTATGGTCATACTCTACAAGCATTCCCCAATCTAAGGTGGTCCATTCAGGTTCAGTCTTAATCACAATGGCGTATGCAAACAAAAGGGAAGAGCTCTACCTCGTGTAGAATCTCACTTCGGTCGAGCCATGTTATCTACCGAAACATTCGACCCAATATGAGACAACCCCGAGGACCCCTGCAAAATACAAACAAAAGGGAAGAGCTCTACCTCCTGTCGAATCACTTCAGTCGAGCCATGCTATTTACCAAAACATTCGGCTGCAATTGAGACAACCTTGAGGACCCCTGCAAAATGTTCTCTACTCCTCTTGAAGTTACTACCTAGCTACTACCTGATTGTTATGTAGCGATTTGTACCGTGTCGTGCCCAGTGGTCCTTAAGATCCACCGGTACTGAGAGATCGTGACCTGCTGCAGCTAGACGACTAAGCAGCTTTGTGAAAACACTTCCACTCATTTTCCGCCCACCCATTCGGACATGGCGTTTATTCGGCATATGTGGAAGCGGATACATGGACATATGGGTGGTACAACACGATGATTGCCAACCTCCATTCCCCCATTTGTAGCACTGCCTTGCAAGTCCAGTACACGAGCAAATTGGTGCTGGCATAGAAGAGTCATCGAAACTAACCAGGTTCAAACCGACATCCTGACCATCCCAGTCCGTTCTGTATTTCGTGCCATCGGTAGCAGCCTGTCTATTCAAATCTTCGCCAACTTTCTTCCTCGGCAGCTTCGATGTCTTTGATGAAACTGCCTTGTTATCCGTTGTTGTTCGGTTTCCCTGTCGAGACTTAACAGCTTCAGAAGCTATAACTGTAATTGGAAAGGCATCAGTTATATGCACGTCTTTTGTACCATAGGGAGTTTCAGACATGCTTGGCATATGATTAGATAAATGGTGCAATCGCTTCGTTTTGCGTTGGATCCCATTGCCAAGAGGAAAGTTTGAAGCGTTGTCACGAATTTCAAGCGCTGCAAGGGCATTGTCCCGTTCCATTAATGCCGAATCACGCTGTGCAATCGCCTCATCACGCTGTTGGAGAGCCTCGTCGCGTGCAGCCAATGCACCTTTCTTCTCAGATAGTGCTAAATTTCGCTCCCGAATAGCAGCATCTCTCTCGGCTATAATAGACATGATCTTCTTATTCATGACCAAGGCGTTCGGTTCCTTTACATGATGAGGGGGCGCCATATGCCACTGCATACATCGTTTCCAATTCATTCGATTTTAGAAAGAACATCTTAATTGAATGCATTAAAAATAAACAGGCAAATTACCGGCGAGGGGCTCCCTCTGAAGTAGTCTAACTTGTGCCTCCCATTTTCATGATGCCGGCCATCATCCATAGTCTCAGAAAATAAGGACACCAAGGTGAATGGATTCAGAATGCTCCAAATGCTTTCACCATCAACTAATCTTTCTCATAATCATCTATGCTGATTTAACATAAATTCATCATATCAGCACAAATCAGACAACAGAAGATCGAAACTAAGTGAAATGAAACCTCAACAGCTAAGAACGAGTAGTAATTCGACGTCACAAGCATTTTCTTTTACAGGTAAAGTCACAAACATTTTAAAGAAAAATTAAACCTATACTAATAATGTAACAGCCCAAGCCCACCGCTAGCAGATATTATCCGCTTTGGCCTATTACGTATCGCCGTTAGCCTCACGGTTTTAAAACGTGTATGATAGAAAGAGGTTTCCACACCCTTATAATGAATGCTTTGTTCCCCTCTCCAACCGAGGTGGGATCTAACAATCCACCCCCTTGGGGCCCAGCGTCCTTGCTAGCCACTACCCAGTGTCTGGCTCTGATACCAATTGTAACAGCCCAAGCTCACCGCTAGTAGATATTGTCTGCTTTGACCCGTTACGTATCGCTGGCAATCTCACGGTTATAAAACGCGCCTGCTAGGGAGAGGTTTCCGCACCTTTATAAGGAATGTTTCATTCCCCTCTCCAACAGATATGGGATCTCACAATCCACCCCATTGGGGGCCCAGCGTCCTTGCTAGCACACTGCCCGATGTCTGACTCTGATACCATTTGTAACAACCCAAGCCCACCACTAGCAAATATTGTCTGCTTTGGCCCGTTACGTATCGCCGTCAGTCTCATGGTTTTAAAACGCATATGCTAGGGAGAGGTTTCCACACCCTTATAAGGAATGCTTTGTTCCCCTCTCCAACCGATGTGGGGATCTGACAGATAAACCCAGACTAAAGGGAGACTATTGTTTGGACAATGTGCAGACACATGATAAAACTACTGTAAACTCATAAAGAAGATCGGACTCGTCCCAACACCACGATGAATTCATTAAGCTACATCAACTGAAATAATTAAAACTGATACTCTCTTTACATTGAAAATTTTAGGATCATATGTTTTGGATAACAGGAAGTTACAACATGCTCACATCTGGCATTCCATGGGGGCTCAATTTAAACATTTCAGCGCAAAGAGAGAAACAAAAGCCTACAATGGCATGGTTTTCCAAACAAGGAACAAAAATTAAAATATGAAATATNTATCTTAAAATTTTTAATATATTTAAAAAATATTCTTAAAATTTTTAAAGTTTCATTAATATCCTCCAATTTTAAAAAAATACGTTTTTATTCCCTGTATTTAAAAAATACTATAAAATTTTAAAGGAGTAGTTTTATCACTTTTTACTTATATAAAAAAGTAAAAAAAATTTATAACCATTCATATATGGACAAAAATCATATATCTACTCATAGATTAGCTGGAAGGGTTAGTGCCGGACTAGTCGAAAATCAAAGTTTATCAAAAGTTTGATCTAAAATTATTGAAAAATTAGCCTTGTATGATTACATTGGGAGTAATCCTGCAAAAAGGTGGATTATTCAGAGCAGGTTCCAATAGACAATGGGGATGGAATAGAGGTTGGATAGTTAGGACACCCTGTTTTTAGAGATAAAGAAGGGCGTGAACTTTTTGTCCGCCACCGTATACCGATCTTTTTTGAAACATTTCCAGTTGTTTTAGTAGTCGACGATGGAATTGTTAGAGCTGATGTCAAACTTTTTAATGTGATTGTTCAAATTTCATAAGATAGTACACTAAATGTATTTGAAGTTTTTTTTTTTTTTTTTTTTTTTTTTTTTTTTTTTTTTTTTTTTTTTNTGTTTTTACCCATTTAGAAAACTATTTCCACTCTTTTTTAAAATAAAATATTAACAGAGTATTTTTAGATTTTTTTTTTTTAATTTAAGAGTATTTTTAAAAATTTTGAAAATTTAGAAATATTTTTTTAAAAAAGGTGTAAAGTTCCAAGTGTATTTTTATTAATTTAGTCAAAATTTTATCATAAATTATATTATTCTGATTAGTTTTAAACTTATCTAAGTCTTTTTAATAATTAAAGTTGAATATGGCAAGCAAAAAACAACCATTGAAAAGGAGAGAAGGGGAAGAAAACTGTTTAATTTGTTCAATCTTTGATAAGAAACTGCTTTAGGAACTACAACAAAAAAGATGAAACAGTTCAAAAGTTTGGCCTTGGGACATCACTTATCCATTTCAACAACAAATGCTACGTAGTAAATTTAAGAACACTGATAAAGCAAGGGTTATTTATGCAGGTTGTACGACTACCTAAGCATATAAATCGATGCCCCAGAACTTTGCGGGTTGGTTCGTTCGATATTTCCTATCGATTCCATTGATTAGATCCATGTCCTCTATTGCAAGCTCAAAATCAAATACCTGGAAATTCTCTTTCAATCTCTCAGGTTTTGACGTCTTCGGAATCACGACGGTGTTCCTTTGGATTCCCCACCTGAGGGCAATTTGAGCAGCAGTCTTCCCATGTTTCTTGGCGAGACCCTGTCACAAAAGAGGGTCCCATGTTAAAAATCACGACTCTCCACAATAGTATGATATTGTCCACTTTGAACATACGGCTTTGTTTTGGGCTTCCCCAAATGGCCTCATACCAATGGAGATGTATTCCTTACTTATAAACCCATGATTATTCCCTAAATTAACCAACGTGAGCCTCCCTCCCAACAATACTCGAACACACCCAGATAAGAATTGTGTGGAAATTTGAATATTGAAACTGCGAAGTATTGATCTCAGTTGCTCATGAAAGAAGGGAAGAGCAGCTAGCTTACTTGAAGAACTGGATCTTCCAGACAAGAAACTGTACCAAACCATTCATGGTTAGCAGCAGCACCCCCTAGAGGAGTATGAGCCGTGACACAAATCCCATGTTTCTGGCAAAATTTGACAAGAGATTCTCGTTGAAAATAAGGATGTGTTTCAATTTGGTTCACAGCAGGCTTCACTTTCGAATACGCTAAACAGTCTCTGGTTAAAAAGATGTCGTAATTGCTGCACGGAATCGTTCCATCACAAAATAATGTTCAAATGCAGCAAAATTGATCAGCAAGAAATCTTAAAGCAAGCAAGCAATATTGAATAATGTTCAAATCCAGCAAAATTCATCATAAATCTTAAAGCAAGCAATATTGGGTCGAGTTGAGGTGTTCTTTTATGAGAATAGTGTTCTTCGAAAACTACATATGTTATCAGGATTTCAATCAAAGTTAGGTGTTCTTTTATGAGAATAGTGTTCTTCGAAAACTACATATGTTATCAGGATTTCAATCAAAGTTTTTGATAATCAAGCAAAGAATCTTATTGTTTAGTTCTGATATTCAAAAGTGTCTCAGATACAGGTAGAATATACCTTTGAAAATCAATATTTACTTGATAAATGTTTCTAAATTTGGTAAGTTACCAAAATGAAAACAATCCTTTGAAAATCAATATTTACTTGATAAATGTTTCTAAATTTGGTAAGTTACCAAAATGAAAACAATCAACACTAAAAAAGTTACCAAAATAAAGTAAATTGAATTTAAATTAAGAAAAAACAGTGCACAAAAGCATGTATAATGCGACGAGTAAGAAAAAATGCATGTATATTGTTCAGACGTATCGACTTTAAGGTTTGTGTCTACTTAATCTCTGAATTTTCTAATTTTTTTAAAATTCACCGACCTACTTTACACGACATTGAAAGTTTAAGGTTCCATTAGACAAAATTCAAATCTATGTCTAATAGATCAAATCATTTGTTTTCAAATTTTTCGTAGATTTATTAGACACAAAATTTGAAGTTTAGAAACCTTCTAGACACAATAATGGAAGTTTCGGGACCAACCTGAAATTTCACGGACTAAATTGTAAAGAGACCAACATGTAATCAAAAGTAGTTACAATACCTGATGCCAATGCTACGAACTAAGCCATGTAAAGAGACCAACATGTAATCAAAAGTAGTTACAATACCTGATGCCAATGCTACGAACTAAGCCATTGGAAACAAGATCTTCCATGGCATGCCAAGTAGTCTCTAAGGATATGGTCGTATCAATGTCCAAAACCCCATCTTCAGCCAATTCACTGCTAGTATTGCCGACTCCTTCATAAATTAGAAATGGAAAAAGGGGGAAAGGTAAAGAAACAGAAAAGGAAAATGAGAAATATTTGATGAACAGCCATGAGAAAGGGGCGATATGGTACCGGTATGCTTTACGGCAACCGGGAAGTGCACCAGGTACAGATCCAAGTAGTCTAGTTGAAGCTTCTTTAAGCTGTCATTGCAAGCCCCAAGAACATGTCCATGGTCTGAATTCCAGAGCTGCCATTGTCAAAACCCAACATCAGTGATTTAAACTTGACTTTCAGAAGCAGTTTTGAAGTGTTTTTAAAATTTTCAATTGGCTAAAAGCATTTATGATCCTTCAAAATCATGCCAAGCTCATCCTAAGGCTCCTAACTGTTTGAACTTCAAGCAAGAAGGATTCAGATGTAGACAATAAGAATTCTGAATCAAACTCACCTTTGTGGTGATGAAGAGTTCTTCCCTCTTGACAAGTCCGCTCTTAAAAGCTTCTGCTAGAGCCTCGCCAACTTCAGCTTCATTTTTGTAATCAGCTGCAAGAAAACAACATCCATTACAAAACTAAGCCACTCAAGTTTTCCGCAGTCAAGACATTAACGCTTTAAAGCGGTTGTATGTTTGATATCAATTCTGTGACTAATTACTTCTGTTTTAAAAAAGTAAAACAAACATTAATTCCTAAATTTAAAACTTACCAAATCCTTAAACCAAACGATTAAACTTGAAGTTTGAATATGTAAAGATTAGAAAGAAGCTGCATAATCCACTGGATTTTTCGAAATCTTCTGATATCAATAATGGACACAAATCATGGTTAATCGTCTGAAAAGTAGTCCTAGATCAGGTCTCAAGGAGAAGGCGTCAAACATTTTTGTACACAATCATGCATGCTATTATTTCTACACATCAAACTCAAGAAAATCGATGAAAATCCGATAAAGAAAAAAATTGCGAGATCCTCCATGATTTCGTCCCGATTTCTAGGTTC